AGTTTGAAGTCTGTAAGAATGATATTTAAATTTCATTATTATTATTATTAATTTACTAATATAAATTATTTTAAACTTTTTAAAGAAACTAATTTCTTTTTCATAAGTAAATGTATATTTTCGTTTTATGTACTTTTATATCCAAGCAAAAACATCTGAGATGTAAAAAAATTTCAAATAAAAATTTATGACTATTTGTACGACAGTCAATAATTTTTTTAGCTATTTTTCTTTGGTAAATATAAGCTTGGTTCTTAAAGATGAAATGTAAGGCAAATACAGGTAAAAATCTTGTGAGCACCGCTTTAAAGCGCCAAGCTTATCTTTGCCAAAGGAAAACTCCTAAAAAATTTTGACCGTCGTCTAAATTGTCATAAATTTTTATTTGGCGGAACCAACGCTTTCGATACGCCGCTTAGAAGAACCATTATAAAAAGTTTTAATTTGCATAAATTTGAGGTTTTGTAATTCTGAATAACATTTTGAATAAAATTCATGTGTTTTCATGCAATTTTATCCTTTATAAGCATAAGATTAAGCCGTAAAACTAAATTAGCTCTATAGGGAAACCCCCGTGAACTTTGACCTATCGACCCGGAAGTTTTGCGAGCACCTCACTAATAACGAGAAAAGCTTAAGATTAAAATTTGAGCTTTCTATACCCAGTAGTTTCTCTACGAGCGTCTGCAGTGCCGGATGAAGAAAAAGAAAAAGAAGAAAGAGAAGAAGGAGAAGAAGAAATTTCAGCATTTTTTACGATTTTTGCAGTTTTCAATTGCGTATATTTTGGACTGCTTTATAGAAAATTTTAAAATTTTGCACTTAACTAGAAAAAGAATTGTGTTTCGAACCAGATATTCGGAATTACTTCAGGTGTTTAGGGACGAAGAAATCAACCCCCGAAAATAGGCAACTTTGATTCCTGTATACAGAGGTTTCAAGTCGACATCATGAGTGACATAATGAGCATGCGCAATTGTTCGGCGTCATCTTTGTGGTTTGTTTACGTTTTATTTGTTTTTACGCGTGCTTTTGCTGGAGCTCTTGTGTTGTTTATTCGTCGCGAATATCACTATGGCAAATTGTTGTGTAATTGAGTGTAATGCTAGTTCACTCAAGAACATAGGAATATCATATATCATTATATATATATATATCTCCAGGGGAGGACGGTAAGGAAGACGTCTTAGTTTCTTCTGTATTTTATATAATGTGAATATACCTTCTGCCCTTTTTTTAATTGAAAGTTTTATATCGCCAAATAAACGCTTTTTAAAAGCTGTTCACAACATAATTAACACGGATTTGATCTATCCATTCATCTGATTGCTATTAAATAAAAATACTAAACAAAATTGTTTAAAATTGCATATTCCGTAATTATAACTAATAATTTCGTTCCATCTACTTTAATTTAAATTAAACATTACACAGAATGCAGATTACATAGAAATTTTTTTATATATATTCAATTTCAAATACAATTCATACGAGGTTCAATACTCATCAATTTACAAACTATTTTAAGCATTATTAAAATCAATTCATTGGCTGATATTAGTTTAGTTCACACTGAGCACGACTCGCTGGCGAGAGCGAAAAACAGAGCGAATAAGGGTGCGACTATGCAGACGCGAGCGAGCGAATTTTCCAAGCGAGCGAGAATATGTGGCGAGAAGAGACGAGACGCGATATATATCAAAACCTGTCAGATATGTTCGAGAACCAGAAATTCGCTCTCGCCAGCGTTATTTCTCGCTTCTCGTTTGTGCATGGTTTTTCTTTGCGAAAACTAAATCGTTCGCAACCTCTCAATCGCTCTAAATTCGCGTCTGCATAGTCGCACCCTAACACGTCAGACATGACGTCTTTCCGGCGAATTTTACCATTTCGCGAATCGCTTCGAAGTTCGGAACTGTCGAGCTTTTTCGTTAGTGAAAACAGTTTTGCGACCAATCGTATTCCCGTTAGTTGTCACGTGATTCTTGTTTACAAGATGACTACAGAAACTTTCTCACGCAATACAGTAAATGTTGTAATTACGGATTTTTAACATTCCTCTCATCCAGCATCGTTTTTTAAAAGGGATCTTTCTTTCTTAATAAATAAACAAACGTGGTTAACGACGGAATATCGGAAGCGGCCATTTTGTTTTTCCACGACGTTTTCTTTCGCATGCAAATGATTTGATCCTTAAAATTCGCAATCGTTTTTCTCTTTTGGTTCAATGGGTCAATTTCGCTAAGCGAATAAAAATCGCTTTTCGTTTTTCTCATTCGCTTTCGCTATTCGCTATTTGCTCAGTGTGAACTAAACTTTAGAGATGAAAACTTCGGCCACAATCTCTCTATTAATATCCAGTCAAGAACCGTCACAGATGGATAAAATGACCCCTCTTTTCGAAAATCTAACGTGCGTTTTATCACGTGACATGCGACTTTAAAACCCTTTACATGTAGTCAGTCAGTGACTTCTTTACTTGGCGGAGAGTCCCTGCCGTGACTCCTGGTCGTGTTAATTATTAAGAATGTTATTATAATTTTTTATAATTTTATTTTATCTATATAGAAATAAGAAAAAAAATTGTTCGTTGGTTCGTTACGCGTTTACAGAAATGTTCTTCCAATTTTAATGAGCGTCGAACTCTTTATTGAGCAGAGCTCTTCATAAGTCAGAAGGTGTTTTATCAGTGATCGAAGTTTAAAACAACCGCACGATCTTTAAACTTGATTTTTTGTAAATACTGTACTGTATATACAACTTGTCAAGGCTGATGTCATGACAAAGCCGGAATTTTAAAATTCGATCTATAAGCTGAGATATTCCAGGACAAAATTCTCCATGTAAAGTCTATGGGCCAATTGCCAGTTGTAAATCTGGCATTACATCTCAACCGAGTTTATGATTGTTGTCAATTTACATTGATCCTTACAACAAATTTTATTTCTATCTTATATGACAAGTATTTAACATGTGCGATGTAGTGACGAAATCAATTTTTCAAAACACGCCCATTTATGTATATCCAGTGGCTGCATACGTGTGTTTTAACTGGTTGTTAGAGTTTATAAGCCTCTGACAACTGATAAAAACTTTAGCCCCCTATTTCACCAACAGACGATTAGACAAATCGCAATATTAACGATTATCTTTTTAGACTCTAACTCGTATATCAAATACAGTAGTCTATCTAAAAATCTCAGAGATATAAAAATAAAATTTAATTTAAACATATGAAATATCGTATACACCGAGATAACTATTTTTATCCTTAACTGAAACTATAACAAAATAGCCATATTATAAAACAGGGGTGGCAAGCAAGAGTTCAGTGGTTGCCGAAATGTAAGTTTTGCAAAATGCATGGGAGCCGCAGTTCTGTACTTTTTTATTCTGTACTGCAGTTCTGTACCGCTATTTTATTATATAATATAAATATAATATAAAACAAATACAGTGGTACCTCAGGTTACGACCGCCCCAGCATACGAAATTTTCAGGATACGACATGAAATTCGAACATATTTTTGCTCCACGATACGAACAAAAACTCACCATACGACGTTACATTAGTTCGCATTTTTCATTTGTTTTTCTTACTACAGTTATTTTTTTAAATGTATTACTTGGCTTTAATTTGAGTATGTTTTTCGCGTTGGAACGAATTATTTGGTTTTACATGTAATCGTATGGGAAAAGATGATTCACCTTACGACATTTTCATGATACGATCTCAGTTTCGGAACGGATTAATTTCGTATCCTGAGGTACCACTGTATTGAATTTTTTTGATAAACATATTTTCAACATTATTGTGGAAATAAAAAACAAACATATTGTGGAAATAAAATTGTAAAAATAATAATAAAAAATAGAAATTAACACTTTCAGCAAAAGCCGCGTTTGTCCATGTCTGTTATAAAACAATATTAATAAGTTTTCCAAGATGTTTTTGAGCATCAATAGTTAACAGAAGAGAAAAACCTGAATTGTTTTTGTGAAAAATTATCATTATAACTAATTTATAATTAACAATTCTCCTACTTATAATCAAAGCTGGATAACTCATTCCGATGTAAGAATTAAATGAAATTTAAATTTTGAGATTTTAAACAATCTTCAAAATTTGACTTTAATATTCATGATGAAAATCGAGAATTTTAATACGAAATGCCATTTTCTTCGTAGAGAAATAATTCTTTCCTGTAGGCACTAACAGGAAAAAGACCCTGTTAGTGCCTACTTCTAGTGTTAGTTCTTCCTTACAGGAAAGAATAAAAACAATTTAAGGAATAATCATTGAGACGGCCGGACGGCCGAGAAGTTAAGAAAGCAGCCCACTGTTCCGGGGAATCCACGATCGAAACAAGCGTAAAGAGTTTAAAAAAGTAATTTTTCATAATTTACCTTAAAATTAACACATACTTTTTTTTTAACTCTTTCTGCCCTGTGGGCACTAGAGGGCCTCTTTTAGCATGCCCATTATGGGCTCGGCCAGACCTACAATTGGGCTGTAGGGTGGTGAGGGACTGGGGCTCAACATATCCAGATGGACCACCCTGAAAAAATTTCTGGAGATTTTTCGACCCGTCTGGACTCGACCGCAGGTACCCTAGAGCGATAGGCTGGTACTCTAGAGCGGTAGGCTGACACCTTGACGCCTCGCCATCCGGCCGTCTTTTTTTCTTTCTTATCTTATTAAAATTCACACATACGATATATGTGACATATATCGTAACATTAATTTTAATATTTTTAACTCGATATAAATTTATAATTTAAATTCCGTCTTTAATTGCTTCTGATAAAACAATAATAAATAAGTTAAAAAGATTTTCTTATTGTCCGCAAAATGGAAATTAGAAAAAAAAAAAGATAATTGATTGTAGGTGGCTCTCTGCTACTTCAAACTGAACAGCTGAGTCTCGTGATCTTTGTTGCAATCGGTTTGATAGTCAATAGGGCGGTTTAGAGATTACGCTTAAAAACTAATTATATTTAATAAATCTCAAAATGTTTCGGAGTGCGGAAATGAAATTATGTCAACTGTACCTACAGAACGAATCGGCTTATTGTTGTATTTCGGAGTTGGGAGAGCTGGGATTAGTTCAATTCAGAGATGTAAGTAGCGATTTTCCATTTTCTTGCTTAAATTATATTAAAAGGTGAGCACGACTAAATTAATCTGACAGAAAACCGGTCTAACAGTTTAAATTTGTATGTTTTGTCGTTATTGTTCAATGAAAATAAGATCGGAGAAGTTTCTTGTTTCTTACCCTCTTTCCAATTAAGATTTTAATAGTTTTTCTGAAATATTTTCATGAAACTATGACTAGACTAATTAGTAATATCGACAGTAAATTTCAGCAATGTTTAAGAATTTTTCTCTAAATCAGTGAGTTTGTAATCTGCATCAAATTCTTCTAAATTGATAACATTTATGTTTGTTAGTTCTTTTTCCTCACATTGAAACATACAATATTTCCGCATATCTTTTTGGACTTTGCTTTAGGTTGTATTTCCAGTTTTGTTTCTATTTTATTGGTACTTGGAGTTATCTTCTACATATTGCAGTCAAAACTGCACAATTTAAAATTAGAAATTAAATTTATTTGCCAATTTCACGAGTTACTTTACTTTTTTATATTAAACAAGCATTCGAACATTTTATTTACTAAAAAATAAAATTATGACATACATTAGTACTGTAACATATATTTTAATTCTTAATACTTGTATAGTATAAAATATAAAAATACAGTTCACATTACTTCTCTATGTACTGATTTAATAGGCTGACTACTTTTTTATTCAATAGTTTTCAGTAGCTCATGAAACTTGAAATTATCTTTTCCATGAGAAAAGATTAAATATTTTTATTAGGATATTTAATAGTACTGCATATACTACAATATACAAATTCATATGTTTTCATGTTGAAATTTGTGTCTTTTCCATGTATTTGTCCTTATACCAACAACATACCTATGTGTGTTTTTTGTTACATGTCTATTTTGAAATTCTCACTCTAAATATAACTTCATTTTAATAATTTCTTTTTTCTGCAAAAGCTTCAAAAATGTATTATATAATATCCCAGCAGAATATGAATGATGTCAACTTCAGATGTAGACAAATTTCAAATATTAAATGAATAATTCATTCTCCATGAAATGTTCCATCAACACAAATTCTCAGAGTAATTTGCATATTTTGTGCATAATGTTAAATACTGTATAGTATGTTTGATTTCTTAAATAGTTAATCTGACTTTATAAAAATATTTTTTATTCTTATTGAAAAAATTCTTAATTAAGTTTATATCTTGATTTGCATGAAATTTAATTATTTTGTTTGGCCATCCGTTAAAACTTGTCTGTCATTTTGTAAGCAATGCAACAGTGCACTGCATATATGCAAAATTGAAATATGTCACATGACATGACATGGAAGGATAACCCACAAGTACTGTATAGTTTAATAAATATAAAAATCTGTTTGCTTTTTCAGAAAACCTAGGATGTTTAGAATAACATCTACTGTTGGTGTCATTGAAATGATATTAGAATTGCAAGATGGATAGTAGTATGGTTGATAACAAATTGCAAGTAGAATATAAAAATAATGGTGATATTTGGATATAGTTACTGTAATTACAATGCAGCAATGGTGTTTAAGTGTCTTGAACTTCAAACTATATTTAATATTTTCACCCTTTTGTCCCTGAATATTAATTTTTTTCCTGAAAATCGAAGATGAGTAAATGGTTAACTTTAAGTGAAATTGAAGATTGTTTTGTGAAAGAAGTGAAATTAATTGATGGGGTAAGTGGGGGAGCATGATACATGTGTGTACCAATAGGATTTTTTATTTGGTACCTATAGGTACCATCAGGTAAGAAGGTAAGCCTTTGTAGTAGATCCATCATGGGTTTGGTCAAGTCTGCAATAGTAAAGAATAGGGCCCAACATATTTAGGCCAAACTATCCAAAGAAATTTCCCTAAATCCAATTCGGATTCAAATTCTGGTCACTTCAGAGGAATAGGCTGATGAACAGGTTAGAGCCAGACTACTGAGATGGTTATCAGCCATTCAGATTAACCATAACCTATTTATTCCAGCAAAGTAGTATCATCATCAGCATGTTAAAATGAATTTTTTTTTTATTAGTTAGTGTTTGGCAATTACTCTAGAGTAGATTTTGTACTAATTGTGATATCAAATTTTCAGTAATAAATGTTATTGATTAGGGAAGTTATATTTGCATCTTTTATTGTTTATCTAATTTTAATTCATTCCTATAGAGATGACTATTACCTGTACTGGTATAGTCAAACTCAATTATAATGAACATGGATATAATGAGCAAAATGCTGTAACAAATTAAATTTGTGTATTTTCATAATTTTCTCATGGTTATAACTAGTACTTCAAGGATATACCAAGCAACTTTTTGGTAGCTACACAAATACATTTATTAATTGTTCAAGTATTAAGAAATGCAATACCAAATTCTTGGAATAGATAAAACTGAAAGAATTACTTTCATGACTACTGGATAATTAGTTTAAGACCTACATGGATTGCAAGCCTATTTATTATTTAGCTTTCTTTTTTGAGACCATTCTCCTCTTTCTTGACTAGCTTCCATCCCTACTTTGCCAATTTACCTAATCATCTCTATGATTGTAAAATTGCCATATACTCTAGTTAGAAACAAATCCTTCTATGACGAAAAAATAAAGCAAACAGCAATTTTAAGATTTGTAGATAAAATGACTAACTGAAATTGAGCATATTATTAATTAGTATTATCTTTAATTACAAAAAAATAAATTGTTTAATATTAATTATATTGTAGTTTATATAACTATTAATAAAGGTACAGTATAATGTATTTATATATTTGGTTTTTGAATCAATTTATTTAGAATGAAAAATTAAAAGATAGATTTCAATAATTATCAGTGGCATAGCTATAAATTTTGCCACCCACGAGCCACAAAATCTTCATGGATATATGAGTAACAACTATAACAAGGAAATCTTGCCAGTCCCCTAATGCTCATTATACAGAGTTTGACTGTACTTTATATTTTACATTTAATAAAAATTAATTAATTATTAGAACATAATCTCATAATAAAGCAACAATAGTGCTGTTTTAGATTATAACATTTTAATTGTATTGATCAAATTTGTAGAATTAATAGTTACAACTAAAGACATTATTAGTGAAATCAGACATTGGTAGTATATTAATTTGAATCCTCTATTAATAATATCTAAACATTGAATTGTTTGGGAATACTTAGGAATTAAGATAAATATTTAATTTTTTTTAGGTTAATAATGAAACTTCAGTTCTCCAAAGAAAATTTGTTAATGATATCAGACGTTGTGATGAAATGGAAAGGAAGTTACGTAAGTCTATTATATATTTTAAAAAATTTTATTTGTAAATTTGTTAATTTGAGAAACTCCTTAAATAAGTAGACTAAAAAGTATTTTATAAATAGAGAAGATTGATGATTATCTTGTGTATAATTATTCATTTTATATCTTGAAAAATTTTTTAATATCTAGTAAATTCATGTTTTTGAATTATGATACATGGACTGAAGTCTGGTTTATGAAAGTGATAGGTTTCTGGAAAAACTTACTAATTGGCAGTGACAATCTTTTAATTCTCTAGACCAGTGGTTCCCAACCTTTTTTCATTAGCGTACCCCGTGACATGTCATATCTCTAGATTGTACCCCTCATTTAAGAATTTTAGTGAGTACCCGTATTGTTAATTTTACGTATTGTAACTTTAAATTAAAGAAAAAAAAACTAAATGAAAAAATGCATAATAAAGTTGTGATTGTTGCAAGGAACATTTTTTACCTAATAATTTTTTAATACTATTAGTTTGTGATACATAATATATTATTTTTTCTGCCATAATAACTAACTTTTTTCTGTACCCCTAAACAACCTATCGCGTACCCCTAGGGGTACTCGTACCACAGGTTGGGAATCGCTGCTCTAGACATAAGATTGCAATAAGAATACTTCAAACAAGGACAGTGACAATCATTTGGCAATCAACACATCTGGGAGCATTCATATTGTCACTTACCACTTTGTTTTTTGGTCATATTGATAACGTCATTGATAACCACTCATATTTCTCAGACATAGTTTGATGGCCAATTTTCAAATCATTGGATCATGTGATGACATCACTCTAAATGAGCTCCTTTTGCTGATGAAATGGAGAACCTATTAACAAAATACTTTCTTGACTCTGTAAAAGATCTTATGTGCTACTGCCAAATCAATGTCTAAACTGAATCTAAAGTATGCTCATGTATATTATTTTATGGATTTACTTTTATTTACTCAGTCTTGACATGATTCATTCTGTACATTCTTTTGGTACTCTTGTGACTATTTCTAGTTGAATCTTTGAAAGTTGTCCTCCCAAATTGAACTCGCCAAACTAAAACACCTGTGTATGAGATGGAAGTCTGAGAAATGCTAGAATCTCATTTAAATCCAACTCATTGGAAATATGAGGTAATATGATCTTAATCACAATTGGTTATTGAAACAAAAGATAATTTATAGAAATTTTGAGTTTTAATCAAAAGAAGCCATGACTGGAGAGTGGAAATGGAGTCACGTGTGTGTGTGTTTGGACAAAGAATAACGCAATTCTATTTTAAAAAGCCAAATGGCTTTTTAAAATAGAATTGAGAGAGAGATACTTGCTTTTTGGTATGGTATCTGATTATCTGAAGCATACAATTATTCTTAAAAGTTTGCATTTTTTTTTTCAAAAAGCAATAACTGCACAAGTAAACTGGAACTATACATGAACAGAACAACAACTAAACACAAATTTCCAGCAAATAAATACCTAAATATTTAATAAGAGGGCTGATAAACTAGTGGACAAAAACATTCAAACATTAAATATTTGGGTATTTATTTGCTGGAAATTTGTGTTTAGGTGTTGTTCTGTTCATGTTTTTTCTGGATTCAGTCAAACAACATCTGAAAGGAAAAAGTTTGATTGTTTTTCTGACAGAAGGCTTGAAGTATCAGAAGTAATAGGCATCTTGCCAAACTTACACAAGTTTGGCAAGGAACTTGAAGACAGGCTGCAAGAAGAATACACACATTTCTGAGGAAGTTAGGCAAATTAAAAAAGTTAACAGCAAACAGAAAACTGAACAAGAGGAGCAATATGGGTATAGGGTTCCTTGATCTTGCATTTGAATTGGTTTTGAACCTATCTTCATGACTCAATTGGTCCCTTACCTGTTTCCAGATGAAATTAGAGAACTTCTTGGGTCACAGAAAAGGTTGACATTGACAGTTAGTTAATTCAATGCTGAACTTGACCCTGGTTAGTGATGATTGTTGATTTTAGGATTCTTCTTATTTTAAATCAGAAAGTGTTTATACTTCTCCTTGAAAGTTATTTGAAGTTTGTCATTCAATCCTACTGATGTTTAGATCTAACATTAAGCAGGCAAACACGAACAGTAACAAAAACGAACTTTATTAGAAAAGGTTAGAACTGTCACAGACATCCTCGGGCAACACCCGGACAAAATCCAACGAACTTTCGCGCCTTTTCTTTTTCTCCGTTGCCAGCCACTCTTGTTGGCCAGTGTTGCCAGACAGAGTTCGTGATCTTGGCAAGTGTTGCCAGACAGTGTTCAGGATCTCTGGCGCTGGCGGCCACAGCTACTCCCCCACCAGTGTCTGAGACACGAAACGAACGGGAAACGATACATGTCGGCCAGAGCGCGTGGTAGTTTGTCGCGTTGGGGCTCGATCTTCTGTCGTATGTTTAGTCGTCGCTGGTCTTGGCATTGGAGACGTTGGGGGTAACTGGTCCGACTCGCTCGCTGCGAGAATAAAAGCCGGTTTCAGGCGATCAATAGAAA